CCTGGCCATGTCCGGGCGGGAAACCGAGGAGCCACGTGACTCGCCCCTGGTGTCCTGACCCCCCACCCAGTGTCCCCGCCCTGCGGAGGGCTCTGCCCGCCCCTCCCCCCCCACCAGGAAGCAAGTGAGGGGAAGGAAGGGGGGCGGAAGACAGGAAAGCAGGCTGGCTTCTGGAGAAACCCTTTGGTCTCTCCCCCACCCCCAGACACTCACAGACACTCAGCCTGCCACCGTCCCTGGCAGGGGAAGGCGCAGGTCCCCACCCCACAGACCGAGGCTCCGAAAGCAAGTCCTCCAAGGGACCCCCACAGCCTGCTCAGCTGTGCCCCCGACCCAGCCTGTGCCCCCGACCCTGCCTGTGCCCCACACTCGGCCTGTGCCCCAGACCCTGCCTGTGCCCCAGACCCTGCCTGTGCCCCACACTCAGCCTGTGCCCCAGACCCTGCCTGTGCCCCACACTCAGCCTGTGCTCCACACTCAGCCTGTGCCCACACTCAGCCTGTGCCCCACACTCAGCCTGTGCCCACACTCAGCCTGTGCCCACACTCAGCCTGTGCCCCACACTCAGCCTGTGCCCCACACTCAGCCTGTGCCCACACTCAGCCTGTGCCCCACACTCGGCCTGTGCCCACACTCGGCCTGTGCCCCCGACCCAGCCTGTGCCCCCGACCCTGCCTGTGCCCCCGACCCTGCCTGTGCCCCACACTCAGCCTGTGCCCACACTCGGCCTGTGCCCCCGACCCAGCCTGTGCCCCACACTCAGCCTGTGCCCCACACTCAGCCTGTGCCCACACTCAGCCTGTGCCCACACTCAGCCTGTGCCCCACACTCGGCCTGTGCCCACACTCGGCCTGTGCCCCAGACCCAGCCTGTGCCCCCGACCCTGCCTGTGCCCCCGACCCTGCCTGTGCCCCACACTCAGCCTGTGCCCACACTCGGCCTGTGCCCACACTCGGCCTGTGCCCACACTCGGCCTGTGCCCCACACTCAGCCTGTGCCCCAGACCCTGCCTGTGCCCCACACTCAGCCTGTGCCCACACTCGGCCTGTGCCCACACTCGGCCTGTGCTCCACACTCAGTCTGTGCCCACACTCAGCCTGTGCCCCCGACCCTGCCTGTGCCCACACTCGGCCTGTGCCCACACTCGGCCTGTGCCCACACTCGGCCTGTGCCCCACACTCGGCCTGTGCCCCACACTCGGCCTGTGCCCCAGACCCAGCCTGTGCCCACACTCGGCCTGTGCCTCACGCTCAGCCTGTGCCCCAGACCCACTCTGTGCCCCCGACCCTGCCTGTGCCCCCGACCCAGCCTGTGCCTCACGCTCAGCCTGCGCCCCACGCTCGGCCTGTGCCCACACTCAGCCTGTGCCCACGCTCGACCTGTGCCCCCGACCCTGCCTGTGCCCACGCCCGGCCTGCGCCCTCAGAGCACCAGCACCCGAATCTTCAGGAGCCGGACCGCGAGGCCCGAGGTTTCCCGAAGACGGTCCCAGGCCGCCTCGGCAGGGCCTGCCCGGCCCCAGGCTTTGTTTATTTTCTCAGCGTGTCTGCGTCTCTGTTTCCGCCCTGCCCACAGGAGGGAATGCTTTCAAGAAAAGCTGGTTATTAATGTGGTTTCTTTGGTTGTGAGGCCCGCGAAGGCCGGAGGAGGGTTTATTTTCCTAACGTGCTTGGCACAGCCCGGCGCCCGGCGCGGCCCCGGCGTTGGGCTGGGGAGGACCCGGGACCCGGGTGGCTCTGAGTCACGGCGAAGCCGCAGCCTCCACGCCAGCTCCGGGGGAGCGCGTCTGGGAAAGCCATTGGCGAGGGGACCCGATCTGCTGTGGGCTTTGTGAAAACAAAGGCGGACGCTGTGTTTACACACCGGCCAAGCCTGCGAACCGGGCAGGTTGAAAACCCATCAAGTGTCCCACTCATTCGCTCCCCCGGGAACTCTCAGTGTCTCCCGGGCACCCCATCTCCTGGGGGCGGGCCCTCTCTTTGGACCAGAAACAGCTGCAGGAGCCGCAGGAAGACCCGCCTGCAGGCCCGTGGGAGTCCTCAGGGAGGCCCCGCGCTCCCCGTGGCTTCGGGACCCGAGGGCCGCCAGCCTGGAGCCCGGCGGGTGCCCGGGGGTTGGGTGCCGGCTTTGGGTCCAGGGATGGGGGTTGGGCTGTCTGGGTGAAGAGAGGGGAGGTCCCTTCTCCCCCACCTCTGGAGACATCGGACTGGGAGTTCACATCAGTGGCAGTGTGTGTGAGTGGGGCGCAGGGGGCAGGGGGCAGGGGGCAGGGGGCAGGGGGCGCACCTGCCAGGGGAGGATGCAGTCCCAGCCCCGGCCCCAGAGAGCCAGCCTCGGACCATCACAGGCCCGGGGGCAGCCACAGGGCACCCCACCGCTGCCCCAGAGCCTCTCCTGGCAGCGGGCACCCTGCACCATGCCAGCTGGCCTGGGGAGGTGCTTGACTCTACATGAAACATTTGGATTTCATGGGCTAGTGATTTGTTTTCCATCTGAGGCACGAGTATAGAGTTACCTCCTTTTAATTTTGCCAAGCCGAGGCACGAATAAAAAACAATCCGCCGTTTTTATCCCCAGTTCATAAAACATTGTGTTTGAGCACCGAAAACGAGCAGGGAAGACGTAACGCCCAGTAGGAGCGCATCCTGTGCACTGGGGTTCTCGCTTCCTGAGCAAGTCTTCCGTGCGCAGAGCCTGGGCGCCCGCTGTGGCCAGGACTGCCGGCGGGACCCTGGTCCCCAGGGCCGGCCGGGCCTCACAGGCCAGACTCTGCCTGTGGCCCTGGCCCCTCACCTCGGGGAGCAGCCTGACTGCTGCCCTCGGGCCCCTCCCACCGGACCCCGTGCTCCGTCCCCGCACCTGGGTGCTCCCCGTGTGCCGATGCCTCCCCCCTTAGGAAAAGGCCCAGCCTGCCTGGCTCTTATGGAGAGAGGCCGGCCGCCCACCCTGGCACTGGAGGCTGCCGTGGCCGTGTCCACGCGCCCACTCCCTCAAACCCGCCCCCCCGCCTCTCCTTCCCTCCCTCCCTTCCTTCCTCGATTTCCCTGCCATTTGCTCCTCCTCTCCACACCCCAGGGGTCCCCCACGCATCAGGATGAGACCAGAGGCCTGAGGTCCCGGAACAAACTGAAGGTGGCAGGGCTCCCCCTCCCACACCAGAGGGCACCCCACTATACCCCTGGCCCAAGCCGGACACCTTTCTGTCACCCTCCCACCAGGGACACCCCAGCTCCCGGGGGTGGGGCTGCCTGCTTCACCTCTACTCCGGAGGGCGGAGGGCGAGGGGAGGGGAGTCCACAGCGGCACGGGGCGCGGCTGGCACGGCTGGGCACTCGCTGGGCTGCAGGCGTATGTCTGTCTCCCCCCCCCCCCCCCCCCCGCCCCATACACACACACACATGCTCCTCACAGGGTTCCAAATGAGGCTGCAGGCCCTCAGCGTGCCCGGCACCCCCTTTTCCTGCAGAAGCAGGGTGTGCAGCCAGCAGGGGCGCCCCTGAGACCCGGAGGCTGGTGCAGGAAGTGGGGTTCCCCCAGGGCAGGCGGGAAGGATCTGGAATAGGGAGGGTGACCCCTAAGGACTCAGCACCTTCGAAGGCCCGCCTGTGCCCAGAGCGAAAGGACGGGTCCCTGGTCCCAGGCCGGCCCCCCTCCTCGGGGTGTGGGTGAGCTGCAGGGACTCGGGGACCCCCTGGTGATGCTGCTCGGGGCTGGACTATGCCTTATCCCTCTTCTGCTCTCCCTGCCCGCTGCTCACAGAGGCTCGGGGCCCTCCCATCCAGCGCACCTTTTTTTAAAAAGCCACTTGGGTGGGTTGTTTGTTTTTAAAGCCCCTTCCTGATGACCTTTCACCTCATCGGGAGCAGGGGCTGAGCTGGCTCTGAGGCCTGGGACATTCCAGCCAGGAAGCGGCTGGTAGGGCGGCGGGAGAGGAAGGGGGACGGAGGCCCGGACCCCCCAGCCTCGCGAGGCACCCAAGTCTTTTTATTTATTTATTTATATTTTAATTCATTTCAGAGATGAAGGGAGAGAGATTGAGAGAGAAGCACTCGTGATGAGAGAGAATCATTGATCAGCTGCCTCCGGCACCCGCCGCTCTGGGGGTGGAGCCCGCCACCCCGGCATGCGCCCTGACAGGGAACCGAACCCGGACCTCCTGGTTCCTAGGTCCAGGCTCAACCCCTGAGCCACGCGGGCCGGGCAGAGCCCGGGTCTCAGAAGCTGTGGTCGTGGCCCGGGTGGCGTCTCCGAGGGAGGGGGCGGAGTGGCACCCGGCGGTGTGGTCAGCGGCTGCGCTCCCGGGAGCCTCAGTTTCCCCGGCTGTGCAATCACACCGCGTTCCCAGGCTGCTGGGGGCCCCCACTCAGTCCCCTCCCCAGCCCCCCTGCGACGGGAGGTGGCTGCGGCCCCAGGACGGCCCTCCGCGGCGGGGAGACCGGCCACCGCACCCGCTCCATCCCGGACACCGCGCTGTGGCCGCGGGGAGCCAGTCCCGGCGCCGGCGCCCCTCCCGGGGAGCCTGCCACGCGCCCCGGCCTGCCCGCCCCGCTCCTCCCGGTCCGGGACCGGCTCCCCGGCCCCGCTCCTCCCCGTCCGGACCCTGCTCCTCGGCCCCGCTCCTCCCGGTCCGGGACCCGGTTCCGCCCGCGCCCCGCTCCTCCCCGTCCGGACCCGGCTCTCCGCGCCCCGCTCCTCCCGGTCCGGACCCGGCTCCCCGCGCCCGCTCCTCCCCGTCCGGGACCGGCTCCCCGCGCCCCGCTCCTCCCCGTCCGGACCCGGCTCCCCGCGCCCCGCTCCTCCCCGTCCGGACCCGGCTCCCCGGCCCCGCTCCTCCCCGTCCGGACCCGGCTCCCCGCGCCCCGCTCCTCCCGGTCCGGGACCCGATTCCGCCCGCACCCCGCTCCTCCCCGTCCGGGACCGGCTCCCCCGGCGCATCCTCGCCGGCCCCGCGCGCCCCGGCCCCCGCCCGGTTCCCACGCCCGGCGCCGGCCCGCACTCACCGTCCTGCGGCGCCGCCTCGCTGCCGCTGCTGCCGGCGGACGGCTCCCGCGCCTCGGCGCCCGCGGGGCGCGGGGCGCGCCGGGCCGCCGCCTCCTCCAGGTCCAGGAGGTGGCTCACCGAGAAGTTGGTGCGCGCCTGGCCGCAGTCGCCCGGCCCCGGCGCGGAGGGCGGCGGGCCCAGCGCCGGCTTGTCCAGGGCGAAGGCGGCGGCGGCCGCGCTGTCCATGTCCACGGGCCCCGGGGCCCCGGGCCGCGCCGCCGGCGGGGAGGGGGTCGGGGTGGGGGTCGGGGTCGCAGCCAGCGCGCCCCCCGCCGCGCTCCCCCGCGCCGCCCGCCCCGGCTCCGCGGCCCCGGCCCGCCCGGCGCTGGCGTCGGGGACCGCTCTCCGGCTCCGCTCCGCTCGGCTCCCCAGTCGCTCACACCGCGCCGCTCCGGCCACACGCCCCTCTGGAGGCAACCTCCCGCCTCCTCCCCTCCCCGCCCCTCGGGCCCGCAGGGCGGGGGTCCCGCGCGGTCCGGTGGCGGCGGGGGGCGGGGAGAGGGGCAGGAGCGAGGGTGTCGCCCTCCGCACCCACCCTGTAAGGGGTGGGAAACTTAAGTGTTTTGTGTTTTTTCTTTTGATTCCCCCAGCTCGCATCTGGGGTAGAGGAAGGGTGAGCAGCCGTCCCCCTCCGCTTAGAAGAGTGGGGGAGCGGCTCGGGGACCGCTGACGGGGGAGGTCTGGGCCCTCTAGCTCCCCCCTCACTCCCCCTGGCCTCCCTCCACGCGGTCCCTGTCCTGACAGAGACTCCGGGGTCCACCTTGTCTGTTCCTCTGGCCCCAGTCTTCCCCAGAGAGCCCCGGTCTCCAGCTTATGGGGTGTATGCACCCCCACACACACACACACGTGCACCCCCACCACGCACTCCCCACCCCCATGCACCTCCACGCACGCACATACACACACACACCCCTGCCCACCTGCAGGGCCCCAGGCCCTCCCCAAGGAAAAGCAAGCTGAGGGGCGAGGTCCCTCCAGAATTCCTGGAGGACAGACAGCCAGACGACAGCCAGACTGACAGATGGGTGACAGGCAGAGAGGGGCAGGCCCTGTCTCCGCTCCTGTTTTTGTTTTGAAAGGGAAGCACAGAAAAGGGGCCGCGGGTGGGGGCTGGCTCGCAGCCCTCTGATGCCACCCGTCCTTCCCCGGGGGGGCAGGGGGGTTTGGGGGCCAGCCTGTCCTTCTGCCCTGGCGGCAGAGCCCTGAGGTCACAGTGACAAAAACAAGGCGGAGGGAGAAGGCCCCGGAATGTCCCGTCCGGACTCCCGCACACAAAGCCAACTCTGCAGGCACCCCGAGGTTGCAGGCCAGCGGCCGAGGTTCTGCACACACTGGCTCTTCTCTTGGGGTTCAGTGCAGACTTGAACCTCCTGGCTGTGGGCCTTAGCGGTCTCCTTAGCTCCTCTGCTCTCACCGCCACATCTTCTGCTGGAAGGATTGAGGGAGTCCATACAAGTGGCCACTGAGTTACTTACTATTTTCTTAAACGTCTATCCCATGCCGAAACCGGTTTGGCTCAGTGGATAGAGCGTCAGCCTGCGGACTGAGGGGTCCCTGGTTCGATTCCGGTCAAGGGCATGTACCTTGGTTGTGGGTACATCCCCAGTGGTGGGTGTGCGGGAGGCGGCTGCTCGATGTTTCTCTCTCATCGATGTTTCTAGCTTTCTACCCCTGTCCCTTCCTCTCTGTAAAAAAATCAATAAAATATTTATCTATCATCTATCTATCTAGTCTCTCCCCAAGAAGCAGAGCCGGGCAGTGGTGGCACGTTTGGACTTCGGAGCTGGTGAGGTGGGTCTGAGTGAGTTCACTGCGTTCGCCAGCTAGGAGGCTCGGAGCTGTGTGAGGGGTAACAAAGGGCCAGCCCCGAGGGTTCACGTGCATTTGGCATTGTTGCTGCTGCTGCTGTTGCATTATCGCCCTTACCAATCCCTGCGGGAGGCTGGGTGGTAGAGGGAAGGCAGAGAGGGACAAGAGGCCGGGCCCGGTACCAACGCTCAGCCCTCCAGCCACAGCCAGGCCCGTGGCAGCCTGGAAATGCAAGGGCATGCCCGTTACCCCAACAAAATCACAACTCCTTACCCATCCCGTTCTTGACACATCCCATTCCTGGTGATTTCGATAAACCCTACGATGCTCACCCCCAGTGGGGGGTGGAGGGAAAATAGGACCCCAGTTTGGAACCTCTCAGTTCAACAGATGTTTATTGAACCAAGCTCTGCGCCTGGCAGGGGGACGAGAGGGACGGAGGGAACAGAGCGGGCTGCTGTTCTCCAGAGAGGACTTCCCGGGAGGAGGAGCAGGCCCTTGGGGCTGGCTCTGGGGGAGACTGGGTCCTGGGGCTGACCAGGAGTGGAAGTGTTTGCCCAGGTCCAACAACCACGTGCTGAAAAGAAAACGAATAAAATAAAAAGTGGGCCTTATTGTGGATATTTCAGAAAACACAGTAAAATTACGAAAATGAAAATCCCGTTTATCCTACGCCTCCCAGGGACCTCTGACGCACAATAAGCATTCCATACATTTTTTATCCTCACCCGAGGAGTGAGGACAGTTTTTCCATGGGGTTTTCAGAGAGAGCGGAAGGGAGGGAGGGAGAGAGGGAAGGAGAGAGAAAGAAAGAGAGGAGAGAGAAACGTCGTTGCACAGGCTGACCATGCTTTAACCACTGAGCAACACTGCCCAGGGCTCCAGACACTTGTTAAAGTTGGTTTAATGGCAGAGATGGGAGATAATCATTTATTTATTCAGCAGACCTAGAAAAGGCAATAGCACAAAAAAAAAGGGACTTGTGCCGGGACTGGTTTGGCTCAGTGGATAGAGCGTCGGCTTGCGGACTAAAAGGTCCCGGGTTCGATTCCGGTCAAGGGCATGTACCTTGGTTGCGGGCGCATCCCCAGTAGGAGGTGTGCAACAGGCAGCTGATCAATGATTCTCTCTCATCGATGTTTCTAACTCTCTATCCCTCTCTCTTCCTCTCTGTGAAAAATCAATAAAATATATTTTTTTTAAAAAGGGACTTGTAGGCTGCATCGTTCCATTTTAGAGTAATCTTCCTAGCTTAAATCCATATTCTAGATAGATGGAGGGACAACCACCATCTATCTAGAATAATTATGAAAGCCGAACCATGTTGTACCAACGTTTTAATAATCGCTTACAGTGTCATTCGGTGTGTCCACCGCTGGATTTTGTTTGGTTGGCTGGTTGGTTTTGGTGTGTGTGTTTTGTTTTTGTTTTCTTGGTTGCTTTTTTTTTTTTTTTTTTTTTTTAGATTTTAACATAGATTTTTGGAGTGAGGAAAGAAGAGGGAGGGAGAGAAACATCCATGTGAAAGGGATCCATCTACGGGCTGCCTCCCACACGCCCCCTACTGGGGACTGTGCCGGCAACCCCTGCCTGGGCCCCGGCTGGGATCGAACTGGCACCCTTTCCGTGCTCGGGGGATGGCGCTCACCAGACAGCCCCCTGGCCTGGGCCACCCCATTCTCAGGGAAAGCCTCGAGATACGCTCCTCATATTGCTCTCCACCCTTCGTGTTTTCTCTATAACGAACACCTAGAAATAGGCGGGAACTTCCCAACGGTGGGGACGAGGCTGGCCGAAGTTCCCAATGCCCTCACAGGGGCCCTTAAAAGCGGAAGAGAGTCCTGCCAGTGTGGCTCAGAGGTTAAGCATTGACCTAGGAATCAGAAGGTCACAGGTTCCATCCCAGTCAGGGCGCATGCCCAGGTTGTAGGCTCAATTCCCAGTGTGGGGCGTGCAGGAGGCAGCCGATCAATGGTTCTCTCTCATCATGGATGTTTCTTTCTCCCTCTCTCTCTCTCTCTCTCTCTCTCACCCTCTCTCTCTCTCTCTCTCTCTCTCTCCTCTCTCTCTCTTTCTCTCTCTCTTTCTCTCTCTCCCTCCCTCCCTCTCTGTCTCTCCCTCTCCCTCTCCCTTCTTCTCTGAAATATATTTATATTAAAAGTGCATTGGAAGTCTCTTCCCCTTGGTCAGCAGCCTGGCGCTGGGCTGGTGGCGCTGATGGCCGGCCGGCTGCTCCTCCTGCCGCAGCTCTGGGCTCGCAGAGGCAGCATGGTGGAAGCAGCCGCACAGCACACTCCGTCGCACACAGCGGCATGGTTCCTTCCTGCTCCTGACATTCCGGAGGCCGTGGGAGGTGTGCTGGGTTTTCTCGCCGTTCCCATCACCGCCGGCGGGCATGGCCAGCAGGCCCTGGGATCTTCCCACGTCCGCTGTCAGTGCCTCTGCCAGTCACGCTCCGTTTGGAACCCGGTTCTCTCTGTGGTGACCGATGGGGGGCCTGAGGGGGATGCCAGGGGAGGGCTGCCATCTCTGAGGAGCCATCCTAACAGTTGATTTGTTATTTCAAAAGGCATTTCCTTGTTTTAATCTGCAAACCTTGAATCATATCTGAAGGTAACTTTTGTTGTTGCTGTTGTTGTTAATCCTCACCTGGGGATATTGTTCCATTGATTTTTAAAGAGAGTAGAAGGAAGGGAGGGGAGAGAGAGAGAGAGAACAAAAGAGATAGAGAGAGAGAGAGAAACATTGATCAGTTGCTTCCTGTAAGCACCCTGACAGGGGATCAAACCCAAAACCTATCTATGTACCTTGACTGGGAATCGAACCCACAACCTTTTGGGGTACAGGACAACATTGCAACCAACTGAGCCGCTCAGCCAGGGCGGTTCTCTCTATTTTTTATGGAGTTACAGTAGTGTCATTCTTTACCACAACACCCCCTGCAAGACACATGACTGTCAATCACTCAGCGGCCAGGTCCATTTCACGCAGGGCCCACATCTTCCCGGGGTTCCCCGTCTTCCCGGGGTTCCCCCGCAGGGAGTGGGCTGGGCCCTGCACTCTCCGAGGCCCCCTGCACACAGCCCGGGGGGAGGCCCTCAGGCTGACGGGGGCGGTGGCTGAGGACCAGGCAGGGCTGAGGAGCGGGCAGAGGCTCTCGGCTCCCGGGCTTAATTGGGGGTGTAATCGTTCTGATTATCGGTAACTCGCTCTTGAACCCGCGCCAGGAGCGTGTGTTCGCAGCCGGCGCGGCCGGGCGGGCGTCAAACAATTACACCGCAGCCCTAATCGGCGGCCACACTCCCCTGGGCCCCACTTCCTCCGCTCGCTGATGGCTGATATTTGGGGGTGAAATATGACCATTTTTACGATCAAAGCGATCAGAGCTCCAAAGGAAAGAAACGGAAAAGAAAAAAAAAGGAGGGGGGCGGGGGGCTCCCCAGGTTTCCTCCCCGGCTCCGGGCCGGTGAAGTTTCCTTAGACACGCCAGGATTTACTCACCGCCCCGCGGGGAGCCTGGATCGCCGCCCACGGGAACAGTAAGTCATTGAGGAGCGGCCGGTCGCCCTCGCCGCCGAGGCCTC